CTCCTGCTAATCATTTTCTCCCCCTGTCCTTCAAAGTCCAGACTATTCTCCTTGGATAAGAATACAGAAGCAAAATGAGAATTTAGTAATTCACCCTTTTCACTAACAGCCATTGTTATCATCCCATCTAGTGGGAGCTGTGTTCCTAAACTTTTTTTTTCTCTTGCTATCAGTAGTTATTAAAAAAATAAAAATAAAAAACTATCCTCTTGCTCTTGCTTTCATTTTCTATTTTAAGTGTTTATTGGCTGGTGAATTCTCTAAGCACTCACAAATTGGTATCCTTACACAACCCTGCCCTCCTTTTCAACTCCAGTGAACTCTTTTTGTCTTCAGAATTTCATTATTGAGAGCTTTTCATTCCTCCTGGGCTGGCTTGCCCTATGGACTTTTAGTCCATAGTATCCTACCTAATCTTCCTCTGAACTCTACAGTCTCCCAGAATTTAGGGCACATGCTTGACTTTCCTCTCATTCTCACAAATGCTGTGATGTAGTAATCAATTTCCCTCAAAAGTTTTCATAGCATCTACTTCAACAACCATTTCCTCTTTGTTGGTGAGAGTCAGGTCCAGAATTGATTGATTGATTCCTGATTCTCTGATTGATTCCTGCAACTTCTGAAGTACGAAATGATCATTAAGACAAGCCAGAAAATTATCTCCTCTTTTTTGGGCAGAAAACACACAGACACACACACACTCTAGCAATTTTTTGGATAACTGAACTACCCTTCCTCCCCCATCACTATAATATAATGCCTCTATGCCAGGTTTGCAATGTTTCTGGAACTCATCTATTTTTCTTGTCTGCTCTAATATCCTCCAATGACAATAATATTTCTATTTCTACCTCCATTGTTCTTCATTCAAATGCTTTCTACTAGGCTGTCCCCTTATCCTAATTTTTTTTTTCACAAGAGTCCATCTTCTTAAAATTCTAATGCTGCTCAACTTTCCTCTTTAAATTATATACACAGGGGCAGCTAAGTGGCGCAGTAGATAGAGCACTGGCCCTGAAGTCAGGAGGACCTGAGTTCAAATCTGGCCTCAGACCAAACTTACTAGCTGTGTGACACTTACTAGCTGTGTGACCCTAGGCAAGTCACTTAACCCCAATTGCCTAAAAGCAAAAAAAAAAAAAACAAACCCCCCAAAATTATATACATAACTAATTTTCTCCCTCCTTTTTTCACTTTAAGCCCCTTTGATTAGATTCAAAGACTCCAGCCAGAGAGAATCTTGGTCTTTATATGCATACTTCCTTCCTGGTCAAAAGCTTATCATTTTAAACTGTGGCCTAGAAATTAAAATCCTATTCTCAGACACCAATTTCTTAACTAGTTCAAATCCCAAATCTCCCTTTCCCTTATGAAGTTCTTGTCTTCTATGATTATGTAGAAGTGATCAAAACACTACCTACGCCCATAAATTCTTCAGTTTCTTGCCCAAGATTGATTGTTAGCAGTGATTCCAACATTCCTTCTGGCAGCATCATTTGTGCCTACATCAATCACCAGAAGCTGGAAGTGGTCACTGATTGGACAAGTCCTGGGTGGTTTCCTCTTACATCTTGAATACACAGTGAGAGAAAACAGTGGATCCTTTTATTGTTATTACCAGGCAGACACAGAACTGCCTCATTTTCCCTTTGCAGGGAGTCACCAGTCACCACTGCTTGTTTTTTCCTCTTTCTCTTTATAGGTGATCTAATAGTATCATTGGATTCCTATCATCACGCATTGGAGGACAAGTAGCTGCTTCCTCCTCAGAGAATCAACCTTTTTCTTTGGGAAGAGGCTAATGTCTACTACTTAGCCTCCAATGTTCAGTGGTCCTTCTTCCCTTTCTCTTTTGTGTCATATCTTTCCATTCTCTAATTTTCTGACACAAGTTAATGTTACTTCTTGACTTTTCATATCCTTTTCTGTGGAGAATGGGGAAGAGTTCTTCAAACCCTTTTACCTTCCCTTATAGGAGGTAGACCAATTCACACTTTGGGCCTAGAAATTACTTGGCCATGGAAGAAATACAAACATGTACTGAATACAGGTCATTGAAAAATTCTCCCTGTTCTGTGTGTGTGTGAGTGTATACATACATACAACTATATTAAGAAGGCAACTAGGCAGCTCAGTGAATAAAGTGGTGGGCTTGGAACCAGGAAGATCTGAGTTCAAATCTAGCCTTAGACACTCACTAGCTGTGTGACTCTGGGTAAGTCCCTTAACCTCTGTTTGCCTTAATCCACTTCACTATCTTTCCCAAGAAAACCCCATGGGCAGTATGGTCCGAGAGGTCACAAAGAGTTGGACATAACTGAACAAAAAAAATTATATCTTTAGTTATACCATATGTGCCCTAGGCCGAGTGTTTCATTTTTTAAAGGAGATTTTAGAATCTGGGAAATAACTGTTGCCTTAGAGGGGCATGGGAGTAGCTCCAAGGTTCAGGATGGTTCTTTGGGGATCAAGGCTTCAGGTCCATCCTAGGTCCCAGACTGTCAAATAGTGATAGGAGGCTCTTGGGCCAATAGTTGCACTCACTGATCAAAGGACCTACTTCATGTGTGGCCTAGTGGTCTGAATGCCATACCTTTTTACTGTTGTGTCTTGCCATCATTTCAAACTTAGAAAGATACTTAGTATCTCTGAGGCATGGTGCAGCAAGAACTTTGGATTTGGGTTCAAGGGACGTGCATTCAATCTTAGTTCTGCTACTTTCTACATATGTGACCCTTCTCAGACTCAGCTTCCTCATCTATGAGATAAGGGAGAGGTCTGAACTGTGTGATCTCTGATGCCCCTTCCAGATTTAGATACTATGACTATATGAATTCAAGATATCCAAAGTAAATTCTCTACATTTCCCCCAAATTAGCTCTGTCTTTAGGCTTCATTATCTGTCAATAGCACTGCCATTCCACACAAATGATAAATCTTACAGTCATAGGCATATAAGTGTCACAGTGAATAGACTTGGACTATTCCTGGACTTGGAATCAGGAAGATCAGAATTTAAATCTAGCCCCAGATACTCACTAGCTGTGTTTACCTGGGCAAGTCACTTAACCTCTGCCTTAGTTTCCTTATCTGTAAAATGGGGATCATAATAGTACCTACCTCCTAGGGTTGTTGTAAGGATAAAATGAGTTAACATTTGTGAAGTGCTTGCAACCCATAATACACTCTATAAATGCTATATTATCATTAGACTTTACCTATGAAATATGTTGGGCCCTCTTCACTTTATGCATGGATTATCATATTAATGGTTTCCCTACCTCCAGGCTAGTCAGAGTCATTCTTACATATAGGTAATTGTAATTTGTGATAATATTGTGATTTGAAAAAATTTGGAAATTCATCCCTGCTCAAAACCATTTTTAAGAATTCTACCACTATAACTTCTTTTTTTTTCTTTTGAGTTAACAAGGTAAATGCTCCTGGCAGAGCTAATACATTCATTGATACAAATTTGTTTACTAATATAACAGAATTTAGCTAGGTCTTAAGAGATCCTCTAATCCAATTCCCTCATTATGCCAGGGGGAAACTGAGACCCAGAGAGGAGCAGTGAATTGTTAAAGTCACACATCCATAAGAAGCTTTCTTCCAAAGAACTAGCTAAGTCAGCTATTCTTGAGGGACTAGGAGTTTTAAATGGGGTGTTGGGAGAAGGGAGGGGATGATTTTGGAGTACTGAGTATTACTGGGGAGGGAGCCAAATTAGAGGTATTTGGGACAGCCAGAGGGCTGGGTGCCTGAACAAAGGTAGTGAGAGGACAGGGGACAGAAGGAAGAAGAAAGGCAGTCAAACTATGAGGACAAACTTCACAATTTTGCACCAGGCTGACTCCTCCTTTAATCCAAGTTTTTTTCTTTTTGGCTTTGGCAATGGAGGTCACGTGACTTGCCCAGAGTCACACAGCTAGGAAGTGTCAAGTGTCTGAGGCTGGATTGGAACCCAGGTTCTCCTGACTCTGAGGCTGGAGCTCCATCCACTGTGCCACCTAGCTGCCCCCTAATCCAAGTATTCTTAACCTGAGGTCTGTAAATTTGTTTTAAAAAATGTTTTGATAACTGTATTTTAATATAATTGGTTTCTTTTGTAATAATGTGTATTTTATTTTATGCATTTGAAAACATTATTGTGAGAAGGTTGAAATCCATAGGCTTCAACAGCTAGCCAGAAGGGGTCCATGACACAAGAAAGGTTAAGAACCTCTGCTCTAATCCAGACTGTGCATCAATACTAGACTGGTCTTCTTAAGGCATTGCTTTCATCATGGCACAGCCCTGCTTAAGTACCTATGCTGACTGTCTATTGCCTGCTTCATCACATCTAAATTTCTCACCCTTGGTTTCAAGGCCCTCCATAATTTTACTCTACCTTTAAGTATCCAACTTGATTTCACCTGCTTTCCAATATGTGCCCTCCACTCCACTCTGGTCAAGTCTCTTCAGTGTCTTGCTGAAGGTTGCAAGTTGTGGTTAGTTTCATTTCTGTACCAGTTCATGTACCCTGAGCTAGGAATACCCTCCACTCAGTCTATCTGCCTATCCAATCCCTATACCTACACCTCCTTCAAAGCCAAGCTCAAGTCCTATCTTCTCTAGGAAGACCTTTCTGATTCCCCTACACCAATTTGTTTCTCCTCTGAATGCATTTGGAAACTTGATCATTTAATAAGGTGCTCTTATGTAATTGTTTCATACGTGTTGGTCTTATGTCCCCCACTAGACAGTTGGCCCCCTGAGTGCAGAAAGTGTATTTTATACATCTTGTGTTTCTCCCACAGCACCTCCTACCTCAGAATCTTCATAATACTTCTGAGTTGGAGTGTCCTCAAAGCTCTTTATTTCCCTAGAGTCATTCATCCTTTCCCTCCACTCCAGAATCTATTTAGGTATTCCACAGACACAGCCAAGAATGGTCCCCCAAGGTACGGGCATGTAGCATTCCAGCTCTCTGTGGCTCATCTAGGTTACCCAATCCTTACCGTCAGCTCTAGCTCTTATATCCCTCTGTGCATGGTTGCTGGCTGGGATCACTGGGAAAGGAGAACTTGGCTCCATCAAAAGAGCCAGGGGTGCCTGCCCAGCAGCTCCAAAACTGGTGGGTTGCAACTCACTGGATTGGGGACCCTGCTGAAGGCCATCCCTGCAGCCCTGGTCAGCTTGGGCTTCCAGGCTGCTGGGGTCCAGGCAGAGCCCAAGGGGAAGAGATGGTAGGCTGTGGCTACAGCGAGTACCCTCATCCAGTGGGCCTGCCCCATCCCGATGGGCCTCAGGGATGGGTGAGAACTCAAGGGAGGAGTCACCAGTGCTCAACCGCAGGGGAGGTGAACCTGAGCCTCCACCTCTTTTTCGGCCCTTGGCCAGTTCAGCAAAGGAGGTGACCCGTCTGGGTGGGGAGCCAGGCCCAGCCAATGAGGAGGGTCCCTCACTCAGGCGAACAGGGCAGCTCAGCATGCGCTCCAGGGAGCCCAGCCGGTTTGGGGGGCTTCGTTCCAGACTTCGGTCATAGCTACGGGAACGCTGGCGTCCGCTGCTGAGATTGGGAGGAGACACGTTGACGTATACCTGTCCCTCTATCAAATCTGGGCCTGTCCCAGATTCCACTTCTGCTGGAGAACTCTTGGCCTTTTGCTCCTCTGTTTGGGTCTCCGGCTTTTGGAATAGGTAGTACTCGGTGGGCTGGCCTGAGATTGGGCCAGGACTGCCCTTCGTGTGTTCCTCTGAACAACTGGTGATGGAGGAGCCAGCGGGACTGGGTGAGGACTGTGAAGACAGGTCACAGGTGACAAGTTTGTAGTAGTTCTGTGTGGCCACCACAAGGCGGGCCTGGCTCTGGAAGCAGGCGGTGAGGTCAGCTGCAGCTGGGCAGGGCTCACAGTGTGGGCGGTAGGAGTTGCAGTTGGCATCTAGCTCAGGGGAGGAGGTGTGAGGGCAGCCACAGCCCTCATCTCCACCCCCATTGTCGGGGTGATGGGACTCACAGGACATCTTAGACTCAGCTGGAGAAGGGTGCAGGTCCAGGTAGAAGGCTCCAGGATCTGAGTGGCTACAGAAGGAAGAGTCGCTGCAGGATAGGGGGGCAGAGTTGAGATTGGCACGGGAGTGACCATGCATCTTGTTGTAGAGGGCACTGAAGGTGACCAACACACCATCTGAGCTGTTGCAGGAAGAATCACTAACATAGCCCATGGATTGGTCGGCCACCTCTGATTGGCTGGATGTGCTGCTGCAACGACAATGTCGGGATCCTGAGCCCGAACAGCCACAGTCTCGGACACCTGGGTTCCTTGGGGACTCATCTAAGCTAAGTTTCCACTCCTGGTCGAAGGAAAAACCAGAGTTGTCACTGGCCCCAGGGCCACCCCCCTCATCTAGCTCCATGGTCTCTGCCTCCAGTTCTGGGGGACAGTGATGCCCATGGCTGCATTTCTGTGCTTCTGAACTGCTCAGAGGCTCCTGCTCCTGTCCTTCTACCACTCCAGCTCGACTGTTTGTGGCTCCCCAGGGTTTCCCTGTTCTGGGGCCAAGTGATGCCAGCTGGAAGGGGGGCTGTCCGCTTCCATGTAGGTGAAAGGACTGCTGGGTTGAACTGTCGCAATCCCCATATGGGTCTTCTGGCTCACCCTCCTTCATTAGGAAGGGGTTGTGCCGCTTTGGAACTCCAGGACCTCGCCCATCCCGGCTCTTGCTTTTAGGACCATCCCCAGGCCCAACAGCACCCCCTGAGGCAGGGAGCACTCTGCTATAGAGCAGAGAGTCAGCCTGTGTCAGGTCTCTGTCAGCATGGCCCAACTCAGGTGGACAGAAGGGATTGGTCCTTGTACTTCCATTGCCCGCACCTCCACCCCCACAGCACTGCCTGTCGGGAACCTGGCAATGCACCAGGGGAATATGGTGGACGATGAGGGTTTCTCCTGTCAGCTTGGGGGGACTATCCATTCTGGAAAGTTCGGCTGAGGGCATCAATGGCCCCAGATACTGCCCCCGGAGCCCTCTGGGGCAGGACACATCTCATCAGGAAGGCCTGGCACCTGGAGAGACAGAAAAAGAGAGAAAAGGAACCCAATGTCACCTTGCCAGAAGTGAGGGGCACACACAGCTTCCCACCATACCTAACATAACCTTCCTGTCTGTACTCAGGATACACAGAACCCTGCCCCATTCCCAGGGGCAGAAGATCTGGAAGGATGCTAGGATCACAAGACTTAGAGCTGGAAGGGACCTGAGATCATCTAGTCTAATACTTTCATTTTACAGATGAGGGAACTGAGACCCATAGATGGGAAGTGTCTACAGTTATACAGGCAATAAGTCACAGAGCCAAGATTAGAACAAATACAGTTTAATTCTAAATGCAGTATGCTTTGTGCCATCACAATCTCAAACTGTCCCCTGCATTCTCTAAGTCCTAGCCCACATCCCAGAGCCTTCTTGACCTGCTCCCTGAGCCAGAACTTACTCTCTTTAAAGTAGGAATTTGAACCTGAGGCCTAAGAGGTCTGTGTATAGATACAGGGAATAAGGGGTAGAGTTCAGATTTGTTCTCTTTTGCCAAATCTAGTACTTTATAGCACCATAGGGCCCTATTCCTGAGAGAATAAAACATGTTCTGGGAGAACCTAGATTCAGTTTTATATGCTTTTTTTGAAGATTAAGGCAAACTTATAGGCTTCATCTCCCTTGAGTTTCAATCGATAATAGATGTTTTTAATATTCTTTGTGTAGGAAATTTTTCTATCTTCTGTTAGTTGTTCCAAAAAGAAAGAAAAAATTCAGAAGAGTCTTCAACAAATATTATTGGCTCTAATAGAGAACCAAGTAGCTATGATGGAAGAGTTGACAATAAGAGTACCCTCAAAAACATTCATCATCCCAGTTTTTGGAACTTAAGCATAATGTTGAGAGACTAATAATATCACATATGTTGTATGTTTATCTTTCAACATTTTCCCCCAGTCTTCAGGGTTTAGTGTGGGCTTTCTTTTAAGAAAACAAAACATAGATCTTTTAAAAAATATTCTGATAACTATATTTCATTATAATTTGTTTTCTTTGTAACTTAATACATTTTATTTTATGCACTTAAAAACTGTTTTAAGAAGGAATCCGCAGGCTTCACCAAACTGCACAAGTCCATGACACAGACATAGTTAAGAAGCCTTATTCTATTGGAAATTGAGGGGATGCCCATCAACTGCGGAATGGCTAAACAAGTTGTGGTATATGAATGTAATGGAATGCTATTGTGCTATAAGAAATGATGAGCAGGCGGATTTCAGAAAAACCTGGAAAGACTTGTACGGACTGATGCTGAGTGAAGTGAGCAGAAGCAGGGGAATACAGTAACAGTATGATGACCAACCTCGATAAACTTAGCTCTTCTCAGCAATACAATGATCAAAGACAATTCTAAAAGAATCATGATGGAAAATGCTATCCACATCCAGAGAAAGAACTATGGAATCTGAATTGCAGATAGAAGCATCTATTTTTTCTTTGTGTTCTGATTCTTCTTTCACAACATGACTAATACGGAAACATGTTTAATATGATTATACATGTACAGCATATGCCATCTTGGGGAGGGGGGGAAGGAAAGGGGGCAGGGAGAAAAAAATTTGGAACTCAAAATCTTATAAAAGTGAATGTTGAAAACCATCTTTACACGTAGTTGGAAAAAATAAAACACTATTAAGTGAAAAAAAGAAGAAGCCTTATTCTAGAGGCTTCTTGGTCATTGGCTCAGTAATACCATGGACAGGGTGTTGAACTTGGAATCTGGAAGACGTGGCTTCTAATCCTGACTCAGACCTTTACTTAGCTGTGGAACTTAGTCTCTCTCAGTCTCAGTTCACGTCTCAGTAAAATGGGGGAAATAATAACACCTACCTTCCAGGGTTGTGAGTATCAAAGGAGATAAGACATATCAGACACTTTTGCAAATCTTAAAGTGCTGCATAAATGTTAACTATTATTATCAGGTTCTACAGTTTCCTATTCTGGCTGAGGCTGAAACTCCATTCCTACTGCTCCCCTAATTCCAGTTTTCCTGTTTCTGAGTTCTCAGTTTCTACCTGATCAAATAGTCTTCACTCCAACAGAATCTCTGACTCAATTCACTGCTCACTCATTCCTTTCTTCCTTCCCTTATTACTATTTTCCTATCTTCTACTCCAGGGTGCTTTTCTTATCACCTTTCTATTCTGATATTTGCTGTTTAATGCTACTTTCCAGCTTTCTGTTTTTAAATATTTAACTCTTGTGAATTTACACGCATGAGCACAACTAGTCACATGTGATGCATTGCAACATTTATTCCACAGCAAAGGGAGTATTCAAAGATGTACAGTGGGGAGGGTTCTTTTCCTGTTTCATATGTTCCTAACATATCATTTTCAAGTGTTGGTCTGTGTGGCTCACGGGGACATAGATAATGGTGCTCTCCTTTCCCCTTGTCATTGGAGACCCCAATAGCCATGGAAACTACTTCACAGTTTGATATATGCAGAAATATATAGTTTTCTGTCAGTTATTGTGGTTGTATATTAGTACCTCTTTCTACAAAATCATAACCACAATGCAGGATCCTCATCTGAGATTACTTATAATTCCATCCTCAGGGGACACACACACACACACACCCCATGCAGAGACATACAAAAATACATAGATGGTGACATGCTTATACACAAACACTAAATCACTCAGGGGTACATACATTCACACACAAATGTACAACAGAAAACTGCAAAGACACTTAAATATAGTTAACTGCTTTGATTCATTTAATCAGGGTCCAGCAGAAAGAGCTTTGGACTTGGTGTTAGGGGAGACCCAAGTTCCAAGCTGAATGGTTACTGAGTATGTGATCACAAGCAAGTTATGTAAGTTGTCAGATCCTCAGTTTCCTCGTCTGTAAAATGAGGATAATATTATCTACAGCATCTACCTCACAGGATCAAATGGGATAATATAATGTAAAGCATTCAGTAAGCTTTAAAACTATTTTTGTTGTTGTAATTGTTATTATTACTTCTTAGGGGCCATTGACCCTTAGGAAAAACACAGAGGGATGTACATGTATATGTATATAGATACACAGGTCAGTCAGTCTATCTATCTCTCTAGTTTCTCTTTTAGAAAAACAAGAAATTCTATTCTTCCTTTGATAGAACCCACAGTGAGGTAAGGAAAGGTTTCTCTCCAGAAAGGTGACAAGAGGTTGATGACTTCTTTGGTCATGGCAGCCCACAGAATAAACATGAAAAATACAATACAATTTAAGTCAATATTTTGGTCAATTACGGGATAATGAAGAGAAGGAAAAACGGGAAACAAGGAGAACAAAGAGAGGAGTCAAACAAAAAGCAAGGCAACACAGATAGAGCTAGGCCTTGTGCTTACTGACGTAGGATGAAGAGAAGGAATTTCATGGAGTCACATCTCCATCCTGTGGTCTTTTAAGATAATTGCTGCTAAGCACTTTTAAAGCCAGGTTGCATTTTCACAGCTACAAGTGTAAGTGGGGCATAGCACCTTTTGATATTTGACTGTGAGAATTACACTAAGAGCCTCCACCCAGGGTCTAAACCCTGAATTCATGGCTTACTGCAGCATTAAATAAATACTGATTGAATGATTCCAGGGAAAATTGTCTTTCAGGATCCTGCTACAGTGTCTCAATTCTGATAAGGGGTGTGACGTCTTATTGTCTTGGTTTTTGGGGGCTGCTCTTGTTGTCCCTACCCAGCAAGAGATGACAGACTAGTTTAGCCTGAAGAAGTCTGCAAAATGATTATGGATCTCTGGGCCAGATAATAAAGCAGCTTTTTCCCTTAAAGCCTGTGGCTGAACTGAAGTAGAAAAGGGGCCTGCTGGAGCCAGGAATGATAAATACAAAGCTAGAAGGTCTCCTCTATTACTAGGCAGTTTTATTTAACAAACTCAAACTCAAATGGAATACACATATTTCACTTTCTCACACACACACACACACACACACACACACACACACACACACACACACGTGCATATACACATGCAGATCCCTTCCTCCCTCCCCTCTTCCCACTGCTGGCCATGTTTATCTCATGATCAACTTCCTCCTTTGACAACTAATTTCTGACAGTTTGTTCTCCCACATCCAGGTCCTAGTTGGTGACTTAGAGAACACTTCAAATTCTCTTTTCTCATTTTGATTTTGTCTCACTGACCTTCCTCTCTATTCACAATCAAACCCCTAAATACCTCATCCTAGATCAGCTTCCTCCACACTGAGAAAGAGGGGAGGGAAACAGAACTACCACCTTCCCTGAAAGACAGAACCATTATTTCCCACCCTATTCCTTCAAAACACAGTACACTTTTCGATTATGCATGATGTAATGCCAAGTTCCCTCTTTTCCTTTGCTGCCATAAGGAACTTGGTACCTCAGGTCTTAGAACTCCTACCTGGATGTGGGTTTGGGGGGGTGGGGGTACAATCTCTTCCCAATTTCCCCTCCTTTGGGAAAAATGTTTCAATATACACTCTTTGGCCTTCTCTCATCTGGTCTATATAAACCCTGGTCCTGATAATCAACTCCAGTCTCACTGACCCCTCTACTCCTCACTCTTCTAACCCTCCCTGAAAGTTTGATGCCATCCCTGCAACCAAACTATGTCAAATTACCTTCCCCTAACCAGAGAAGCCATGTATCTAGCTGGATGAATTTACCTACTCTTTCATCAGCGGTCATCATGGAATCACAGAATCTTAAGAGGCAGATGAGGTCCTAGAAAAAGTTTATTACAATACTTCTGCCAACGTAGGCATTTGGGGCAGCATAGCAAGAACACTAGATTCAGTGTCAGATGACCTGGATTTGAATACCAGCTCTGTCTCTGTGATCATGGCTGCCACTTGACTTCTTTGAGGCCGTTTCCTTACCTATAACACAAGGAAATTGGATAATAGAACCTCTAAAGTCCTTTTCAGTTGCAAATCTATAACTATGAATACTTTCTACAACATCCTTGAAAGGTAATTAGC